ATCCATTGAGCTCTGGCTGCTCCGCACTCAGGGGAAAGGCAGCTAGAAGGTGAGCGAGACAGCTGTCAGTCTGTGCCTGCCAAAGTGGAGAGGAAAATGGGCCCAAGTTCAAACTTCCCTTCTGTCTCTCTCTCCCCTGTGTCAATTCAGGTCCTCTGGGAAGCACATGCCAAGATGGAATCAGAAGTGCAAGGACCAGGGGAGAGGGCTGCCTATGAAAGCTAGAAGGAAGGGAGCAGGATTGCACCTGGGAGAGCTTTCAGACTGCACACAGGGAGGGAAGATTCTAGAGCACAGCCTCAGGTTGCAGCGCTCCTGTAAGCCTCAGGCAGGTGCATGGGGAGCCCCGGAGCAAGGACTGGGAGGCCTTCCCCACGCTGGACAGGAAGGCCTGCTGCCTACCTGCCCTCTCTTCTCCTCCCCAGCTCTTCTCCCCGTGCTCACCCTGGGGAGTGCCTGCCTCACAAGGCCCTGGCAGCTGCGTTCTTTCTTGAAGATTGCTGAGCGGATGGCATGGCTGCCATGCTTCTCTCCTTACCTTTCTCCCCTTGTCCCTCCTTCCTTCCTTCCCACCCTTCCTTCCCCATGCAGGGCTTCAGTCATCCTACATGTGTCAGACAGAGGCACAGGATCGAGCCTTTGTAAATGAATTGGACACAGTCCTTCTCAAAGAGCCCGCAATCCAGAATGTCTCTCTGATCCACAGAGAGGAAATGTGTTGCCAGCACCCCTGGACAAACCTGGTGAGCACTCCTGCTTCCTTACTTCTTCGAGGCCAGCCTCAGATGCAGCCCCTCCCCCATCCCGCACTGGCTCATGGGGCAAAATGCATAGACAAGTTTAGCTGCCAAATCAATGAAACTCTTAATTTAGTGAGTTGAAGTCTATTTTAACTGTCAAGCAACAAATTAATTCTCTACGCTTTTCCCTTTTCACTTTAACCCACTGTCCTCCCCCATCCCCGAAATCAATGAACACTTTTTGGATACATAATAAAATCAGTATTTCATTACAAAAGTAGAATGGGGAAAAACAAAACAAAACCAAAAAACAAAAGTAGAATGGAATGGGTGTGTATACACCATCAACAGAGTTAAGCCTTCCCAAACATTATCCACTGGGCATCAGCACCAACTCTGCCCGAGGCTCCCGATGCTTCCAGGTGCCTAGAATACACCAGCAGAGATGCCAGTCTCTGCCCAGCCAGGCACACAACATGCCTGTGCTTATACACTCAGGACTGCCTGTGCCGGTCAGGGTCCACAGCTCCCAGGGGTACTCAGAAGCTGGATACAAAGCACGAGGTAAACTTGACCTTGAATTTTGAGTGTTGTCATTACTTTGCTTTCAAAATGCAGTTCTGGGCCCTCCTTGGTGGCGCAAGGGGTTAAACCACAGCCCTGCAAGCTAGCCACAGCCATTTTAGTGTAAGTTTGATCCCCAGCCAGGGAACTGACCCATGTGGCCAGCAGACCTCTCCTGACCCGCCTGCTGCTCCCCTCAGCAGTGTACTTTGTAGACCTGACTGTTCTGCTCCCCACTCTGTCTCTGGTGA